AGGGGTTTTAATTGCCTACTTCTTCAATTTCTCATCCATTTCCTTGAGCCCGCCACCTTCAGGATCACCCATATCTATGAGATCCTCTCTCGTATCTATGAAATCGCTCCCTTCGACGTACTTTATATAGCCTTGTTTAGCAAGCTTTCGAAGGAAAACTTCTGATATGGCGGAACAGAGGACAATTGACTGGGGATCCTGAATTTTGGCAATTTTACTTATGTTCTGCAATTCCACTAAATAAGCAAAAATTTCGAAAAGAGTTTCGTAAAATTCGGAGTCCAACCTACCTTGTCGGCATCTGGATGGTCAATTTTGTTTAGTGCGAGAACTGTGGGGAATTTCTCATCTATGAAAGCAACTACAACACGTTCTATGGTTTCGTCTGACCATTCCTGGAGAGGCTCTTTTATATCTAATCGGTCAAGACATCGCGCGACGATATTTGAGGTGCTTCCGTAGCCAGAAAACTGATTTTGTAGCGTTTCGATAGCCGTTGCCTCTATTATTAGTTCTCCGTCAGGATGATTTGTACAGTATTTCAAGTCGGGGTCGGGTATCACACGCACTTGTGGCAGTATGCCGCCGTTTTATGGAACCCCTTTTAACCGTAAATGACTGCTTTTTTCAAAAATTGCCCCCTCGTAAGGAATTTTGCGCGTTACCATACCATTTTTCCATAAGATTCCCCAAAATCCAATTGACGATCTCCGACTTCAACCAAACAATATCTTGCGAAGGGTCATACCCTCTAGTTGCCTTCCCTGATATCAGGAAATTTTTTGAATTTTGAGTTTTTGTTCAGCCCATCCAATCCAAACCCATTTATTCTGATGGCATTCATGCGCTACACAAGTATTTGTGGGTTTATATCACGAACCTTCAGCATCTGTTGTCCCACTGACATCAACCACGTGTATCAACGCATCCGCATGGCGCAAGTCATCCAAGAATTTATTCCCCAGCCCTTTGCCCTCATGGGCGCCGGGGACAAGCCCAGCAACATCAAGAAGCTCAATCGGCACGGATCTCCGGCCTTCATGACAGCCGCCGTAGTTCGGTCTGCATTTATCTGAGACGTTAAAACGTTTGCACGCGCAGTCTACTTGTAGGTAGCCGATGGCGCGCTGGGGATCGATTGTTGTGAACCTATTCCCCACATTTTAGTTATCAACGCTCAGGGCCTATGAAGCAGGGTCACGAGAGAAGGAAGAAGGGGTTTGATAAATAGTGCGCAGAAATGGGGGCTCGTACGGGAAATTTCCTACGGTCATGGTACTTTAGCTTCAGTTATATTAATAAAACGGACTAAAGTATTTACTTACCAACTTTGGAAGAAGCATCAGTCAAACTGTTGCAATTGTTGCGTTAGCTATATTAATTTTACCTCGTAGTCAAGACAAACGCACCTATTCAGGGTAGTTGACTTCCCGGACGAGGGTTTCCCGACGAGGCCGATCAATGGGTCACGAGGCATAGGATATACGTATACGCAGGCCTTAAAAGTGAAAAATATAAGAGTTCAAAGAGAGGGTGTTCGCATTTCCAGCAGGATATTCGTTGGAGCGCTGGCATTTGCTCAGTGCTTTAAAGAGTTCGCGGCAGGTTTCAATCTGCTGGTAATTTTGATATCTTATCAGGAAAGATTGTTACATTACTAGGTAAAAAAACAAGTAACGAAGCCTGTAATTTACAGTAATCTCATTACATCGCCAAAAATGCTTCAGGCTCAACATCAACTTTGTTGCCTCAAGTTCTCCGTCGCAGGTAGTAAAATATCAATTCAGCAAAGCTGTGGTACTTTAAACAGAACCTTCACACTTATTTTGGTTGATTCCCTTGGAATCTCTCTGTCAACAGGGTTATTGGTTCGAACTGCTCATAAATACTATAGTTCACAGAGTGAAAACAAGGGCTGCACACAAAGCTTGCCCCTCATGGGCGTTGTAGCATTGATAACTTGAATTCAGTGCTCTGCCTTTCCTATATCGAAATGGCTCTGAAAAGCGGAGAGTCTTGACATCTTTTATAGAGAGAATCAATAATAGTAACAAAGATATCTCCTAGAAGAGCAGGATGGCTTTCCAAATATAGTATCCCGTATGAAATTGGGGATCGCAGCTGGAGCACGATTCCCTCTAACTGGTGACCCAAGACCAAGCCCCCCCCCCCAGCTTGAAACAGTCGGAACAGCTGAGTTCCACAGAAACCTCAGAATCAAGATCCCTTCGTTCAGTGGCAATGACGTGGGGGTGCAAAATAGTAGGGATAATTTTCGTAACCATGACATCACACCAACGAAGCTCCCTAGGGGCTACCAAAACATCGGTCACCAGGGCTTTTCTCCAGTTGTTTTCTCTGATTAAATCGCCTTCCCCATTGTCCCAGCGAAAGTGATATCAATGCAGGTGTAATTGTATGAGTGGCCCTTTCTTTTCCGTTTATCTTTCTGGGAAAAACCGTGATGCTGCAATATCGAATATGTTTTCAACGCTAACATTCGATATTTAAGCAGACGACTTTAAAAAGCAAAATCAACAGCGCACAAGGCTAAGCCAACCTAACCAGAGGCTATTATTCATACCCCGTACCAGCCTCCATCCATTTCAGAATGAACCGTTCCAACTCCCCTTCCTCAGAAGCCCGCAATGTCGAACGTGACTGGTCCCATTCAAAAGGCGAGGAGCAACAAAAGCACACATCTCCATCCTATGTAAACCCAGTCGTGCACCACAACATGTCCTCCATGAAACCCAAGGGGGCCAACCTGACCGAGGGCGGCTTCGACGACAACGACGACCAGCAGCCCAACGTCAGCTTCACGAGCGAAATTGGCTCCGCTGATGATCCGGGACGTGTTGCGGAGCGGCTGTATCAGAGCAGGAATGCCGAAACACCGGGTGAGGCGGCAGCGCCGGTGGATAGGCCGTCGAATGATTTGAGGGGCAAGGGGCAGAGGAAGGGAGGGCAGCCGTATGAGGGGCTGGAGGAGGAGGAGGCTTGAACTGAGGGAACCCCCCCTCCCCCTAATTTTTCAGTCATATGGCCTGTTATTTTGGTTGGATTCTTTTTATGCTGTGGTATGATAAAATAAAATAAAATGATTAGTTCCGTATCAGTTACTTCTTTTGTTGGTGGGTTGAAGAATTAACAAGTTCACGTTAGGGTTGATTCATGTTTGTCGACATTCATCTGAATATAAAATTCCACAGTATATCATTTATTGTATGGGATAATGAAGGAGATACGTACCAAAAACCGTTGTATGACATTGAATTTGCCGGGAGAATTTTTATAACCATGCCGCTTGCTGACGGCCGTACAATGAAGTCACAAAAAGGCTAGAGGCTGGGTGTAAACAAAGAAATAAAATAACGAGATTAACGAAAGAAAAGATACCGAACCACGTGAAAAAAAAAAATAAGAGTTTGATTCCGTCCCATTTTATACACCAATATATGAACGCCAGATACAAAAATCAAAACCGATATACCGTCACCCTCACGTCAGAGATAATGGCTCGTCACACGATCCTAGAAAGAAACGAAGCTAACACCTTCGCGGGCTGCATCACACAAAGGAGAGACCCACATGACAACAACACCCATCCAAGAAGGTTGGGGGGGGGGGGATTTAAAACGAAGAGAAATGTGCGAAAAACAAAAGGTGTGGGAAGGCATACAAGAAGCGCCAGGGACAAAGCAAAGGAGAAAAAAAAAGGCGGCTAGGAAAGCACACAGACCAGAACGTAAAAGTTTTCACTCCTAAATTTTTACCCTCTTGGCTTCCTTCTGCACAACCTTGACAAGCTCTGTATAATACTCTTTATCCTCACCACCCTCACCATCCTTCTTGTCCTTGTCCTTCTTGCTCTTTGCACTTGATCGCGGTAGCACCATGACAACACTTGTAGGTCGCTTGGTGGCGCCAGCACTTCCCAACTCAGCTCTTGACGTGACGTAAACGTAAGGGATTCCGTGGTCTTCGCAGAGAACGGGAATATGCGATATGACATCCATGGGGGAAATATCTGCTGCGAGGACGACGACGGCGCTCGGCGTGTCTATCACGGCGTTGGGTGCGGGTACGGCTGATTTCCGCAGTGCTTTGACGACTTCTTTCACTCCTCGTTTGAGAGACTTGTTTACAGCAGCTGCGGATCGGGAAAAAAAAAAAAAAGAAAAAATTGTTGTTAGTAAGAATAATTGCGCAGAAAGAACAAGCCATTCGGTTTTCGTAGCGGCCATATGATATGCCCTTCTCTCGTTGTATTCCACACAGCGGCGAGAGAACCTTCGAGGAAGAGAAATAGCACCATGTAAAGTCAAAGATACAAAAAAAAAAAAATAAATAAAACTTGAAAAAAAAAAAGCCCGACCTACCCTTTTTAACGCTCTTGAGCACCTTCTTCGCAACCTTATCCTCTGCTAATGGGTTTGCGAACGGAACGAGAGAACCAATAGGTCGCATCGTAACAGTAGCAGCAGACTCGGCAGCAGGCGCGGCATCCGGCTTCTCCAGCTTCTCCAAGACCATTGTGGTCAATTCTTTCTCTGCAACTTCAGAAAGTAAACTCGTATCCTTCTTTTTATCCTTCTTAGATTTCTTGTGCACGCCATCGGTCTCGGACCGCTTCTTCTCCTTCTTCTCCTTCTTTCGCTCTTTATCAGACTTGTCCTTGGCCATTGTGACGGGAGGGAGGGGAGTACTGGAAAAAACAATAAGAATAAATAATAAAAACGCAAAACCACCAGGAGTATAGGTTATAGGCAGGTACAAGAGGGTAAAATATCAAACAGTAGTGGCCGTTAACAAAAGAGTGAGAGAATTGGAGATAATTCAACAGGCTAAGTTGCTTTGAGTTATTTCGTTATTTTTTTGAACTTTTTGCTTCCGGTGAAAGACTAAGCTGAATATGGATTAGCTTTACCCAAAAAATCTTTCTTTCTCTTCTCTTGCAAAATACGTTGTCCACCAGGCGTTGTAGTTCATCAAATGCTGGCCGAGTGGTGTAGTTGGTTATCACGTTTCGTTAACAAAACAGGATCACATTTGATCCGAAAAGGTCCTGAGTTCGAGTCTCAGCTTGGTCAGAAAACATCTACATGTATTTCAATTTTTCTTTTTCTTTTTCTTTTTCATTTTCTTTTTCATTTTCATTTTCATTTCATTTTATTTTGGTCCATTTTTCTGAATTTCTTTCTTTGAGCTTGCTTATCGTGGGATTGGTGGTTTTTTCTTCTTCTAAATTATAAAATTTCTTTTCCCTTCAGCTACCAGCACGTAAATATTTAGAACTTGGCACATATATGATAGTAACGCACAAAATGTAATAGTAAACATTACTGCAACATGGATTCGAGGAGTTGTACTCCGTACGAAGCACAGTACTTTCAGCTTTTCCAAGATAGATCGTCCAGTTTCCTCAAGTTCGGCTATACCAGTGTTATCTTCATGTTCTGAATGCGATTACATTAATCCTAATAATAGTGTGGCCAGGAGCACAAGGAAAACGGGGCAAAACTGAGTGGTCAAAAGCTGATTCATAGTTAGATATTTAGTCCGTCCGCTTCGACCGGAAGATGGACTCAATAACCTGCCTTGCTTCTTTATTGAGACCATCCAGTTTGTTCAGTCCTCGATCTGATGAAGAAAATATGGTGGAAAAGCATCGACAAAAGAAAAAGAAAAGAAAAATGTTTAAACATATTTTAGATTGAATATGAAACTCTCGAGAAAAAGGCGATCACTTCTAATTGTTTATGTACTGTACAACGCAAATACCGGCTAAAGGCCGCTACCACCTTTTCGAAGCTACATGCAACAACACAACATGTAACCGTTGTTTTTTACTCTTCATTTCCGCCTTCAGCCAATCGTCCTGGCTTGGAATTCAAATATTCATTTCTAGCCGGGAGCATAATGTCAGTCAAGAAAAACGTATATATACAGAGGTGTATCCAGTAAAGGACACCATCGCGTTTGAACGGATGAAATATGACACGGGAACACGAACCTCTCCTGAGCCCAGTTCACCACTGCATATGCGATAACGAATGGGGGGATAACATAGAGAGCTTGGTTGCGGGATCTTCTCCACGTGTTGAAAATGGCATTGTAGAGAGCACCGGCAAAGGGACGCTGTCGGTTGGGAGACAGCGCATAGGTCGAGATCTTCTGAGGGGTCGGGCAGCCTATTTAGGACGCAAAAGGAGACAGACATTAGCAATGACATGTGCTGTTATAGTTTGGGTAGGAGAGGGAGGTATAATCCTCCAAGAGCGATGTGCAGCGATGCGAGTAATATGAGGGGGCCTGGGGCCTGATTTTAAAGACTCGTTTCCTTGGTCGCAATGACGTGGCTCTCAAACGTACCGAAGTTTCCATAGGTTCCGATGTATCTGCCAACTGTCAGTTTTCTGTCTGCTGCAATCAATTGCATCATGGAGTGAACGGCAGTATCTCTCTAGTGGTTCGGGAAGAAGGTTGCTAGCAAGAGGCGAGAGGTACTCACATTCCACGCTTGGGATCAGGGTGTGCGCCGCCCATGGTGCCGGATAGAGGGATGAGAGGAAAAATTCGTGGATAAAATTGAATTAACTCTTTCTCCTAATAATGGATAGAACCGCTGACGACAATGCAAGAGTGTGTCTAGTACTATGTTGTATATTTATGTTGACTGTCGTCGTTCGGGTTTCCTTTTTTGCGATCAAAAGTTGAGCCTCCAACATAACCCGGCACTAGTCCCTATACAGTCTAGCGTCTTGAAAAGCAGCATCTCGGAACAAGCTTCAAAGAAATCCAATTCAATTGCTGGTGATATCTCTCTATCCACTCCCAGGAACCCCCAGGAACCCCCAGGAGCAACGCATTTCTTCTCCATCCACCCCCGGCTTCTGCAAAAAAATCATGGCGAACGCTCTTACCGCTATTTACAAATGGGGCGTCCCCGTAGCCATCGGGGCGTCCTTCGTCCAGGCCTCTCTGTACGATGTCAAGGGAGGAACCCGTGCGGTCATCTTTGACAGACTCTCCGGAGTCCAGGAAAAGGTCGTTAATGAGGGAACACACTTTCTCATTCCCTGGCTACAAAAGAGCATTATCTACGATGTCAGAACAAAACCTAGAAATATCTCCACGACCACCGGAAGCAAGGACTTGCAGATGGTCAGCTTGACCCTGCGAGTTCTGCATCGTCCCGATGTCCAGCAACTGCCAAAGATTTATCAGGTATGTGCCCTCTGCGTTCTAATGACCCCTCATCTACCATATATATATATGTATATGTATATAAAAGCCTAACTTTGTCCGTCTGTATAGTCACTCGGCCAAGACTACGATGAAAGAGTGCTCCCCTCCATCGGCAACGAAGTCCTAAAATCCATCGTCGCCCAGTTCGATGCTGCAGAGCTCATTACGCAGCGTGAAGCCGTCTCTAACAGAATCCGCAACGATCTCATGCGCCGCGCCATGGAATTCAACATCGCCCTTGAAGACGTCTCCATCACCCACATGACTTTCGGCCGCGAATTCACCCGCGCCGTCGAGCAGAAGCAGATCGCCCAACAGGACGCCGAACGGGCGAGATTCATCGTCGAGAAGGCTGAGCAGGAACGACAGGCTAATGTTATTCGTGCGGAGGGAGAAGCCGAAAGTGCAGATATCATTAGCAAGGCTGTGATGAAGGCTGGTGATGGCTTGATTCAGATCCGAAGAATCGATGCCAGCCGGGAGATTGCCCAGACCCTAGCCAGCAATCCTAACGTGACATATCTTCCAGGGGGCGGTGAAGGGAAGGAGGGCGGCAAGAGCACTGGTCTTCTTCTTGGGCTGAGGAGTTAAAAAAGAAGAAGCGGGTTGGGGGTTAGTAAATACTAAAAAGCACGGTGTTGTGTTGCGCTGCGCTGAGAGTGGAGGCGGTGAATTGTTCTACTACATTTGTTTTTTTTGCTTTGGAACAAATAACTTGTATCAAGATTCTGCTTCTGCTTATTTTTTTATTTTTTATTTTTTTTTTTTTATCACCTCACTATCATGTCTCAATATAGTTTCTCCACTTCTCCAACCCGTTTATAGGCGTTGCACTCGCCGTCGTGCCTTTTTACGTCAAATTCTTCATTATCAATTCCATTCCCCTTCCTAGAACTTAAAGGGAAAATCCTTTTCCATATTCAAAGAAATATGTAAAACGGTTTATTACCTCCTAGGGGCTGATCCAAAAAATATTGAACTACTTGAGCCCGCTACATCTTCTACTGTGCAAGTTTCCGTTTGCCTATGTGTACCAGGATCATTGGATTATGAGTTACCCACCGTTGGACGAAACCTCTCGTAAAATTTCACGTGAAAATTGGTTTATTCGAAGATTAAGTTGTGTCATGAATTAATGCGTATCATTAATGCCGTTAACAAATATGCGTTCAACAACAATGATTCGCTTGAAAAACAAGATGGAGCAAAGCACAGAAAAAAAGAAAAAATAAAGAGCCGGCACGTTCTGCCCAGGCTACCCGCTGAGTAGTCGTTCCATAGATCAAGTGCTCAGCCAACAACAAACGGAAGAGGAAATTAAAAAATGATGTATATGTTTGTGGAAAAAAAAGAAAAGAAAAAGAAAAGAAAGGAAAGGAAGAGCAAACACCAAACAGGTATGTAGAAGCAGCCGGGTTGGAGGATAATATGACACAGGCCTCAACCCAGCTATTAACAAAACATCAGATGCATCCGATGCCGAACGCGTTCCCACGCCGTCGTCGCGACTTTGGCTGGCTCCCATGTCTCCGCATCAAATTCCAACCGGCCCGTGTCCAAATCCGCTTGCCACGGCTTGACAAACCTGGTGCGGTACATAATCTTATGTACCGAATACAACACGACGAAGAGAATCAAACTCACATACGAGATGAAAAATTTCGATGTATTCCAAGGTAAAAAAGCCGTAAACCCCTGAGTGAGGATGATAAGGATGTTGAAGAAGAGGCCGTACCACGCCAAGTAGGGCTGGAAGGGTGCTTTGTACGGCAACGAATCGCGGCTAGTATTTCGTGCAGATAGGGCGCGCATGAAGCTAAGGTGGCAGCCGTTAATGCATGACCATGAGATGAAACCAGCGATGCTGCTGATGTTCATGAACCATTCGAAGACCACGGAGCCGCTGTGGGAAAGATTGAGGAAGCCGAGTAGGCCGAAAGAGGCCGTGAAGAGTACGCTGAAGATGGGTACGCCGCCCTTGGTGGTCTTGGTGAAAAATCTGGGGGCACAGCCGTCCTGGGCCAGGCCTACCATTATTCTACTGCCGGAGTAGACGTTGGAGTTGGCAGCGGAAAGGACCACGGAGAGGAGAATGGCATTGATGAGGCCTGGGAGCGTTTTGACACCAGCAAGTTTGGCGGCGATGACGAAGGGGGATGCGGAGGCATTGGAGGCATTCGATAGGAGGTCTTCGTTTGTGTATGGTATTAGAATACCGATGAAGAAGATGGTCAGGACGAAGAGGAAGAGGATGCGGTAAAAAGTCTTCTTAATGGCTGCTGGTACGGCTTTGCGTGGGTTTTCCGTTTCGCCAGCCGCGATGCCGACCAATTCGGTTCCCTGATATGAAAAGCCAGCTTGGATCAGAGTAGCCCAGAATCCAATGAATTTTGCAGTGGCAACTTTATCACCGCCAATAACCTCGAGGAGGTAAGGAGCGAATGCGCCCGGGTTGTGCCAGTATCTGAACCCCAGATAGCCCTGCTGGCCGGCACCTGCATTAATGCAGATGCCAAAGATCATGAAACCGATGACCGTGATGACTTTGACGCTCGAGAACCAGAACTCAATCTCGCCGTAGAAGTTGACAGGTAGCATATTAATTGAGGTTATGAAGACCCAAAACACGGCTATGAAGATGCCAATAGGGATGTGCTTATTCCAATATTGAATGATAAGCCCAGTCGCTGTCAGCTCGAGCGCAAAAGTAACGGCCCAAGAAAACCAGTATATCCAACCCATGGCAAACCCGAGGCTAGGGTCGACGAAGCGCGTAGCATATGAGGTAAAGGCACCAGCGATTGGTATATACGTTGCCATTTCTCCGAGAGAGACTATGACT